CACCTCTTTGAAGAGTTCCGTTTGACATATCCGTGGTAACGGTCTGTTTAGAATGTCGTTGCCATGGATATGTCTCCAATAGCTCCAGCAAAACTTAGGGTAAAGGTATATTTCGCGTTAGCACGGGAACGTGCCCCGCGAAGCTCCGCCCAGCAGATGCGCAGGTTGTGGCTTTCAGGCCTCTCGTCACAGTATGTGTTGTTGCGTGAACGTGTTTAATTGTCACCCAGACAATGATGTAGGACCGTGACTGCCGAGCCGTTTTTTAGTAATGGACACCCACTCTGACTCAGATCACCAGAATAGCTTAAAAATAAAAAAAGAAATCGCTTCATGCATTAAGCCGCACACGGTAGTTCAGATTCTAAATAAAATGAACATAAAGTAGTATTTGCATTATATTATAAATTATATTCTAGTAAACACCTGTACCAGACAGGGTGGATGTAAGGAAACGGGAGTGGCGGGAGGGTTGTATGTTACAGTCTACAGACATTTGTATGTTTATGTGACGGTTACTTCAAACTTTTTTTCAATATGACATATTCTTAACGAAAGGCCAGGAACAACAGTTTAACTGTTTGTAGCATGATATCTCCGCTGCGGCTAAACTTTAATAAAAATAGAAATTAACATGTCTTCAATTCTTGCAGCTTCAAAAACGGTGTATGTTTTAGGGTTGTACTCCTGAAAAATAAACTCTGCAGAAATTGGCAGACTCGAACAAAACTCGTTAAGGATACACAGATAACAAACAAACTTTGTCCTATAAAATTTATTTTCCTTTAGGAAACCAGTCCAGAATGTTCGCCATTAGAATTGATGTGAATGTGGTGATGCTCTTGAAAGGTTAGCTTCTATTCAACGAATCACAGATTCAATCTGCCTTAAACAATAAAAATGACGGGACGGGCAAATCACTTCTGTGGCGCAGGGGCTGCGATGAGATGCCGAGCATTTTCGTACTCGACATCAGTCCCGAAAAATAGGGGGGTGGGGGAGGTGGAGAGATTTATGCCACATATTGAATGGAACAGGAACCAGGCCTTCTAAATTGTATTATCGTCATGTAGAAGGGTTTCACATATCACAGGACGGTTTTAGGAATGCACATGTACATATATTTGTTCTGATGCCGTCGTCTGCTCCTCTGCTTGTATCCTATCCTGTCCTATCTATCTACATGTATCTATCTATCTATCTATCTGTCTGTCTATCTCTCTATCCGTCCATCCGTCCATCCATCCATCCATGTCTGTCTACCCATCTGTACTGCAGGTCTGTCTGTTTACCCATGTCAATTACCTGCCAATTTTTATTCTTCACCTGATAAAGGTAAAGTTGCACCTGCTTTGTTTAATTAATTAAGAACTGCTCCATGAAGATGTGGGGGAGTGGAGGTATAGCTCCACTATTATTGACCTCAGCAGTAGGAGGTAAGTGGTCAGCTTCATGCCACGCTCGCTTTACTCTTGGGGAAAGAGTATCAGATGCCCCTTTTGTAGGAGGCTGAGTGGGCCCAAAAGCGGGTCTGGACGCTATAGAGTAGAGAAAAATTGAACCCCGGCCGTCCAGCCTGTAGCCCTTAGCCCATCTCTATATCAGCTTAGCTATAATGGCTCCTTCTTCACCTGATTTTGCATGACTTTATTCATAGGAGACTTAGGCCTATACTACCCGCATTTCATATGTCTTAAAGACTTCCATATTATTAGACAAATAAGTTCAACAGTTCATCATCTGTAATTTCCCCATTTCTATATTAGCTCACACAATAAATTACAAGTCTATCTTTCTTTAACAAGCCAAGTGCCGGATCAGAGATGAAGCCCTAAATTTAGAGGCCGAAAATGTGATAGTGCGCTGCCTTGTCTGTGCTTCTCACATCTCAGGAGGCGTTCATAGCTCAGATGAACAACATTCAGACTTTATGAAACCGAACACTATAAGCGTGACAGGGAAGTGTGGCGATTTGCATGCCCTGTTCTCTCACGACGTAGCCGCTGCTTCTTCTATCTGTAACAGGACATAAACAAGTCTGATTCTAATTATGGAGGCATTTGTGTCGTCGTGTTATGTAGACAGTTAAGTCCGCATCTGAGCAGCAGGACTATATACGAAAAATCCGAGTGATCAACGGGATTTGGAGCCCGATTTCTAATTCGGCAGGAAGGCTGATCATCACGTCCTGGGCAATCTGTCCTAAACTGCGACTCTAATTATGATTAATGACACTCAGCAAATATCAAGCGTGTTCTACTGCGGCACTTTTGGATGCTTGTATGTACATATTTGCAGCAACTGAAACATTTGTGACGGCTCTCCTCAGAGCCAAACGAGTGATGTTTCTAGATTGGATATGAAAGGATTAAAGTGCATCAAATTTAAATGTACAAATGTACAATAATGACTACGTAAAATAAACTGGTTATAATTAAGAAAAATTTAATAAAATCTTTCAAACGATTACTTACGTAGTACGCTTACAATAATACAATCAATAATGCAGAATGTATACAGATGCTATCTTAAAATTAAATAGCATATTTTAAAAATTACTCCTCTGAAATTGAGATAATTACGAAAAGAGTGCATTTTATTCACGGATAACTAAAGTTTTTTTTGTCGCAAACTTAGTTCTGCCCTAGGCCACATATAGCTCTTTCTACAGCCGTGAAGTAAAATGGCGGATATACCATTTCCTGTCATTCTCGGTCACTTGACTTGAACGTAGGAGACTTTTCCTGTGTGAATACATCAAGGATCAGGTGTATCGCCCCCCTCTCACCCTGCCATGATCCCATGATGAACTGCGAACACGGACTGTTGCATCTGTTGCCACTGTTAAGGCTAACATGCTCAGTCGTCTGTGGGAAGAACTGTTTTGCAGATGGGTTGCTGTCCGTGTTATGGGAGGACGCCAAATAGAGCGTTTGTGAAATGGAAAATGCTGCTTGGAAGAATGTTTGTGCTTTGCTAGTACAATGCACCTAATTTAGTATTTAGGCCTACGGTTTCGTTCATTTCGGAAATATGATGGTTAAAATATTTGACTTTATTTAGAAAGACCGTCATTGACATTCATTCGTAATCACTAAACTTTCAGAAACAATTATATGTAAATATAAGGTTAAACAAGATGAGTAGAAGGCTCCATTAAAAGGTTTTATTTGGCCTATGCTGGGATTTTTCTTATTTTCCTCACCAGATCTATATGCTCCGTTCAGCAAAGGAACTCTCTATTTGAATACGTTGGCACTATTGCATGATCTGTATAAATTACCTTCTCTCCTCCATTCTGCACCAAATTTATTAGAACATAGAGTAAGAAATTCCATTTCAAAATTCCTAAATTTACTTATGTGTGAAGTGTCCGCAAATTCATTGTGATTAACAGACAACAGATAGCAGCATGTGTCAGTCGCACCGGCTCGTCGGTCAGCCTCTGAGGACAGAACAATAGACTGTCGTCGTCCTGGAACAAAAGCCATTGTTCATCCCAACATGGCTTTTGGCACTTCACTACCTCAGGGCTTTTAGTGGCTTCCGAAAAGATAAAGAAATGTCTTTATCATACTCTTATTTTAAAGCATTCGTCTACGAAGTGTTGAAAAGAATAATTTTACTTAGGTAGATGAAGTGAAATCGAAATAAAATAATTGCATAATGAAGAGTTTCCTGCTTTTAATATTTCTTCAGTACTGTTAAGAGGTAGTTAAAGTAAGAAGGATGAGATTGCACGCATGGGGGAAGCAATAAATCCATACACTTCTGTTGGACATCTCATTGGAAGAGAAAATCTCTTTCTTTCTGGGTGAGAAACTTGGTCTCTCACATCGAGGGAAGAACATAGGTTAAGGATTCTTGAGAACAGTTTGCGGAGGATAATGATTTGACACAAGGCAGAGAAGGCTAGGAATAAATACAAAATGTGGAGCTTTATAATTTGTATTTTTCACTAAGTGTTATTAGATGGATGGGAAGCATAGGTAAGAAATGTATATATTTTTATAGAAAATCCTTAGAGGAAGAGACTGTTTAGAAATATAATGGTGGGTTGGAGGTTAATGTTGAAGCAGATTTTACAGAAATAGGTTGTGACCAAAGCTGACGCGCCAAACAAAGTGGCCATCAGAGGCAGCAACAATTTCTGGGTGGAACATCTTAAACTCCTCTTCTTTCTCGCTTAGCTTATGTTAGGATGAAAACTCCTTTTTAGTCTGTTCTTCATATTTTACTATTAATTGACAGTAGCTTAAACACGCTACACAACAGTGTAAATAAAATGGTTTCAAGAATTACAACAAAAAGGACGGTTTTTCGTAAGAGTGTATTGAAATTTCGTGTTGTTAATTGCGACAAAATTTCAGCGAAGTTGATTTCTTCATAACTGAGGGAGGGGCGGAATTTCGCGTCATCTGGCCAGCATGTAGGCATGTAATGATTGTTACGATGTGGGAGGTGGACTACTGGCGAGCTTTTGTGGTCACGGTAGACCCACGTCTACCTACTTCATAATTGGCCGAAAATGTATTGCTAAGTTAAGCAAATATTAGCTCTTCAAGAATGGTTCAGCCCTGTGGAGTTTGTTAAGTTGGCTATTTTGTCTTTGAGCTCGACTGACTGACCTACGGCATATTGGTAGTCTCTTGGGAACATAAACAGGACACAGAACCTAACTCCGATTCTTTGTTATTTCAGTTCATTGGTTTATGAATAAATATATTTTGCTCGCACTAAATACGAGCGACACTTGAGAGCTGCCACACCCGACCAGCGGTCGGCTAAGTATTCCCACATGTAGGGACGACCTGTATCCGACTTACTAGGTCGGATTGTAAGGCGCGCAAACATTTCTCAATCCACCGATGATTATACAGCATAGTTGGTCACTTCATACATAGATGGCGTATGCATGAATATTTCCTTGGCCTAGATGGCCTTGATTATCATATGTCACTGTCATTCCTCTTCTTATCCCTTGTTTCAATATGGACACAGTTTGACAGTGTGTCTGCTCCGTAGTTCAGGTGACGCGTCGTAGCAAGAAAGAAGATACTGAGTAGGGATCGTGTAATGGAATTGTTGTTTAAAGAAGATTTTGAAGACGATTTAATTCCAGAATCCGATTCAAGTGAATCAAGTGACAGCGAAATGCCTGAATCTTCATAAATTTCCTTGATAAGTGACGTTGTAGACGAGGCAACATCCGAAACATCGTCAGGTTACTGTCCGCCTCTTTCATCACTTACAGCAAACACAGGCTTGAATACCATCGTTCAGAACACTGATGTTATGTCTCTTGTGAATTTACATGTTACAGATAACTTTCTGGATTATGTTTGTGAACAAACCAACCTGTATGCTAGCCAAGTGATTAGTTCTTCACAAAACGTTCACAATTTCAGGAAGGGACTCCAGTAGCAGTACCAGAACTGAAGAAAGTTTTGAAGGTGATGTTTGTGACTGAGATAATACATAAACCTACTCTAAAACACTATTAATCCGAAGATCCCGTTTTTAAACTCCAGTGTTTTCGAAAACAATGGCCCGGGTCTGTTTTCAAAGTGTTTTGTCATTTATCCACTTCAGTGACAGCAGCAGGAATGATATCAATAATCAGTTAATGACTTCGAAGTGTTTGTGAAGTCAATCAAGAACTAAGGATGGGGGTATCTGGACTTCATGAAAATTGTGACCCGTGTCTTACTTCTGGGAAGTGTTCCTCCAACACCTGCAAGCATGGAATTGGCTTCTGCTGCATCATCATCATCAGTACAAATTCCAGATATTTTGCCGCTAAAAGATCCCCCACAAAAGGCCCTCCATTTCGGCTAGATGACATGACGATGGATCATGTTTTGCTAAAGTTTCCAGCATTCAGGAGTGACAGTACTCCCACAAGATGTAGAGTGTGTTTAGAAACAAAGAACAATTAGTGAAACTAAATTGTATTGTCGAAAGTGTGGTGTGCCTGTACATCTTGGATAATATGGTACTACACACCACGCACCACGCACCACGCACCAAGCACCACGCTCTCAGAGTGTACTGAAACATCACCAGAAGGTAGGTATAAAGTTTCAGATTTCTGTGTGTAATAATTTACGACCAGAGTGTTTCCGGATTTTCGTTGTCAGTGAATGCATTGAAAATACTCTGACATTTAAAAACCCGGCGCTGGAAAATGGGGTTAGATTACTGGCAAACGTTCTTATAATGCTGCTGATACTCAGCCTCCTCACTGATAGTTACGGAGGCTGGTGCTGTAAGCCGGAGCATAGAACTGGTCCTTCACCCCCATGTCTTTCAAGAAATCGAGTGCCTGGATCTCACATCTTTACGGCGTCATGGCTTGGTGATGAAGCACAGGATCAATTTTACCGTTAATTACGTGCGTGCTTCTATTCCTTATTTTCAAGAAAAACGTAAATGGAAACACACAGGGAAGGATTATTTATACTTATCTTTAATTTTCGTTTTAGTTACTGTAAGGCAGTAATGTCGATATTCTCCCTATTATTTTCATCGTCGATATCTTCATAATGCTGAATCTGTCGTTCTTGGCCTCATTCTTCATCATCCACACGTATCCTTTTCTGTTGCGGATACTGAAGATTTCCGTATTTTGTTTTCTGTCTGTATAGTTATTCTTGATCTTCTTATCGGGTAGCGGTGACCGTGTGTGCTTGTTTAACCCGCTCATTTTTCGTCTAAGCGCCTGTTTCCTTCCCTTCTTACGAAGCGGTACACCAGAAAACACATCTCCTTTGTGTCCCAATCGATCACGTCACCACGAAACTTGTTTCCCCTTTCTTGTACTCTCACAAAAGTACATAAACTTCCCGCGTCAATCTTACTGGAACAATTTCAGACATTCAAAGAATCCAACCATAGAAAATATAATCGCAAAAATATCTCTTACTTTTCTACCGCTCACTCATAATGGTATTACTTCACATACCTGTCATTATTTCTACTTCTTTTTCGAAGTAATAAAGAAGTACCCAGCAAAATGTACATAGAAATATTTTAAAGACGATCCAGTCCGTTTTGAAATGACTCAAGTTTGATATTCCCTTCGTTTTTATGGATTCCCAAGGTCTATGAACGTATTCACAAAAGCCCGTCACTGAACCATATCCTGAGTCAGTTTAATTCAATCCATATGTTAATAACATATTTCTTTGTGACCCACTTTAATATTATTCTTCCATTTACATCTCCGTCTCCAAAGCAGTCTCTTCCTTGAAGTTTTACAACCTAAATTTTCTAGGCTACTCCTTTTCTACTCGATGCGTGCTGTAGACTCCGTCAATCTCACCCTCCCTTTTATGTTCATCCTGTTAATGTTTGTTGAAGGTAAAATTGTGAAGGTTTGAAGTTTCCTCAGTTTTGCTGCTACTTCCTATGCGTTACATGAAGACAATTTTCTCTGAACCGTGTTCACAATCTGTGTGCTTACACTAGAGCGAGAAGACAACAACAACAACAACAACAACAACAACAACAACAACAACAACAACACACCATCGATGTTGCATGTCACTGGTTATTCGTGTTTCTCGTAAATTAGGCCCCTATGACTAGGCACTTTCATTATTTGTGTGTGTAAGGGTGAATTCTGCCGGTCACGGTAGCCCAGCGGTCTAAGGCATGCACTGTCTTCGCTCGCTCGGAAGCCGGGATCGTGGGTTCGAATCCTACTCAGGACATGGATGTGTAATGTTTGTGTATGTGCGTTTTTCTGTATTTGTGTGCAGGTAGAGGCCTTGCGACGAGCTGATCACCCGCCCAAGGAGTCTTACCGAATGTTTAAGATCTAGTAAACCGAAGTGAAAAGGAGAGTTTCATGGAGGTAGGCCTAGGCCCAAATTGGGGCTGTAGCGCCACAGGAAAAAAAAGGGTGAATTCTACGTCGCATGCATAACAGGTTGGTCAGTCCTGAGTAAGGGGTATTTGATGTAGTGCATGTCACAAACCAGAGTTTCACCCATACAGCCGATACGATGACGAATCGATACCAATTCCATTACGCCTAATTCTGAATGAGTTCAGTGTGCATTTTAATGGGGAGAAGCATAAAATCCTCTAGTAATCTAGTTACGAAATATATATATATATGCATAATTTTGCTGCGATAAGTTGATTTATCTTCGCATGTTCTTTCAAACACATACCGTTGTTGTTTACTAGAGAATTAAAATTAACTTGCGTGTGAAATTTGACAGTGTAAATGAAGAGAATTTGCAGAATTTCATAAATCCGAATCCTGAACATAACAGCAGGATCGATATAGTACGGTAACAATTTCGATCAAAATTTGGCTACAATCGCCTTAAATGTTTTAAAAATTACATACCAATTTTTCTTCGGGTGTTTCATGGGTGCGAAAACATATAGAAGACCACAAGAAAGGGGAACTTGTAAGATGATGATAACTTTATCACCCAATTTATTGCATCAGTAAGAGGATGTTGCCTGGTACTCAGGAGCTTCGACTCCGATTCGTGACAGATTCCTGTAAAATAGTTCAAAATGCTTCCATGCTCCATATTCCATCCACTGACTTATGATTATTCCTAATAGCATTTTTTTATTCCTAGTGGGGTGGGCGTAAGTCCCTTGCACTCCGCCCACTTCTGGCCTATTGTACCAGCCCCAGATGGTAGGTGAGAGTGATTGTGGAGCAATTGGTGGAATGAAGATTGGCAGGGGAAACCGAAGTACTCGGAGAAAACCTGCCCCAGCGCCACTTTTTCCACCACAAATCCCACTTGACCAGACCCGCGATCGAACCCGGGCCGCCGCGGTGGGAAGCCAGCGACTAACCGCTTGAGCTATGGCGCGGCCTAAACCATCCTGGTTTTTGTTACTGTCAGACAGCTGCGGGCTCGTTGATTTGGGGCGCTCTCCCTGACGAGAGAACGTGTCTGTCGTTTACAATTGCTGCTGGCCCTCGTCAGATATTCGACCTCACCTCAACACAGGTATACTCTTCAATTCATGAATGAACTCCCTTTCATAACTGCCAGAGAACCGAACAGAGATCACCGCCTTCGAGGGTTCCATTACTGCTCTTCATGAACGCGTTTTCTCGGAAATGTGCATGAACCGTTGCCTAGCAAAATGGGTAGTTCCATGTCAAGCTTCATTATTCCGTCTTTTAGGCAGTGTTTACCGAGCGTTGCTCAACAATGCGTTGTTCCACCTTGTTGTCCCGGAAACATGTTTCAACAAGCCGTTGTCTGTCAATGTATTATTCCGTCACATATAGATAATACTGAGACCTGTATTTTACATTGTGACACAGTCGCTTATACTGTGCTTCGTTATTGAGAAATTGTATGAAGTTCGAATAGAGCTTCATGTACAGTGAAGGTTGTAGTAGACCGATACGGACAAATTTAAGTTTTGGGGTAGGCCTTACTACAGTATTTTATCAGAATCCGTTCGGTAGTTTTTGTAGACAGAGCATGAGGGTGAGCAGACGGACAGAGACATGACCGCTCCATACGTTGTGTTGAGCACAAAAACGACAGAGGACAATAGCTGGGACAACGTGCTGACGTGCTTTATGCTGTCCAAGTCGTTGTACTATCGACAGATTTGCCCCCCAACATACCGGCTTACGCGGCGGGGGTGAACGCAAAAATTAATGGCTCTATAGATTTGAACGAAACACATATATGGTGTGTAAACCATAACCTAAATATGCGTATGAATAGATTTATTCAGTTCGGTGATTCGTTGCACAGAAAAATATTGTAACATGTATACCCATTGTTAGTCAACGGGTTGGTAAACAAGTTCCCGCGAAGACAGATTCTTGGTAAACAGTCCGTTGCTATGTTACGTAACAATAGAAGAATGTCCGTAAGAATTCCCACGGCAACGAATACAGGCAACACTGGAAGAACTGCCGTTTCTATGCAACGGCCTTAAAACACACACCCTTAAGAAGGTGACGAGACTATATGGGAAACTGTGTTTTCTATGCGGTCCACGCTAAGAAAACGAATGGAAGAACAGGATGTCTGTTGCCAGGCAACGAAACTGTAAACAAGAATCCTTAACCAAATAAGACGCTGTTTTCTGTGGGGTCCGTGCAAAGGATTTATCTTGAAGACAATCGGCACTACGGGTCAGTCAGTCAGTCAGTTCTCGGTAGGGATAGACACGGGAAGTTCGTAGTTGAAGAACAATTAGAAGTCGGTCTGTGAAGACTTAACGTGTGATTAGAAGACTTTGTTTATGTGTAATATTTGGAGTGTGTAATTCAGTTAGACTGTTATAGTTCCTGTATGTTACTTGCGTTACTAGGAGACGACTAGTATGTAACAGTGAATTATAAAGCATATAAATAGCAACAGCGCTATAATTGCGTGTAATTGCTGAAGGTGCATGTAAGGAGTAGATAAACCCGTTCATTCAATCCCGAGCCCCAGTTGTTAGTCACTAATACACACGACAATATTTTACATTTTGAATGTTAAAATTGGTCATTTTATGTATAATCCTGTCATATTTTTTAAGCAAGTCGATATTGATTAGGAAACCAGTTTTCTTGGATTGCGGCTTCAACCTGTCTCTTCCGTTTGTAGATGGGTGGATTAGGCGTTCTCTTGTGATACGGGAGGCCACACAATTTCATTTTTTTTGCTGCAGTTGCTCGAGGAACTGAAACAGTCGTCTCTGGTTTTTGTGCAGCAGCTACTTAAGTCTGTTTCATACATACTAAGTTAACAGGTTTAAAACTGGAGAATTTGGTGGCCATTGTGTGGATTTTATAAATTCAAACGAAGCATCATCCGATAGTCTAAATATTTTTTTTTATACTGGCTGGTTTTTCATTTTCATGATAATTTTACAGACGGTAGGACTCTTTGGACGAGTGATCAGCTCGTCACAAGTTTAAATATATAGGTAATATGAATTTAAAAATGCTTATTTTTAACATTAAAAATGGAAAAATGTTGTTTTATATAATGACTCGCTAGAACTGAATAAATATTTTTATACTTAGGTATGTTCCAAGGCCGCGCCATAACTCAAGCGGTTAGTCGCTG